CTTTCTGGTCCGGAGCGGATGCCATCGGAGAGGAGGGGGAGGTGGTGCCCATTGGATGGGATGCTGGGTTTTTGCCTGTTGAAGGGACCGTGTGTTGTACTGACAGCATGACTCCTGAGGCCGGTATAATTGCAGGGCGCCTCACACAGTAACAGCCCTGTTTAGTGACGCATCTTCCTCTGTGGGGTTTTTAGCGGATCTGCTCACAATTTCCCTGAGGGCCAGTGCCATGCGAGGGTCTCGACCTTGGCTGTAATCTACAACCCGGCCCTCAGGCCTTGCTCTCAGAGCCAGCTTGGGTAAAAACAAATGATGTTTCTTCCTCCTGGCTCAGTGTCTGCGTGCAAATGACTCTCTGCTTTTCATGTTGTTTGCACAAGTAGCATCAGCTCGAATGTATCTTAGAATTTAAAAAAAAGGAGGGGGATCCAAATGGCGTGTGATTGTGCTGCCTGTCCGGGATGCGTGACTCTGAAGAGACCAGCCGCTCAGCACCCATGTAGACGGACCCTCTGCACGGCCACAAGCTTGCCTTCCCTTCCCACAGAAAGCCCGTGGCTCAGCTCGTGGCCTCTGAAGGGGCCCCCGTGCCGAGGACACGTCAGAGCCGGGTGCCGCTGGGCTTTCCAGATACAGTCGTCTCCGTCCCAGTTGTGGACACAACCAATTGTCTAGAAACAGGCGTCGTGAAAGTGCTGGGGAGCGCGAGACCCCATCCCAAATAAGGGCCGCGCCAGCATTTCAGATCATGCATTTCTTCGCAGCAGGACCCAGATAAGGCCTCCTGTTTGCACTGGCTGATATTGGGTCTTGCCGCTTTTTTTAATTTTTGAAAACTTACTGTTTACAACCCCCAGTGAAGTTCAGCCTTGCCCTGAGTTTGTCCACAGCTCTGACGTCCCCAATGCCCCCTCCACCAGGCTCAGGACACCGCACAATCCGCCAGAACCCGCCCTGCGGGAGGCGGGAGGTGGCGGCCCCTGTTGTTTTCATTTGCATATTTTCACGCACTGGTTTACTGCCCTTGTGCTTTTTTTGGTGAAGCATCTGCAAGTGTTTTGCCTACTTTTTCACTGCATTCTTTATTTTCCCATTGTTGAGTTTTGAGGGTTCTTTATATATTGTGGATTGAACCATTGGTCAGATAAGCAGTTTGCAAGCATTTTCTCCCAGTTCCAGCTTTTTTCCATTTTTTCACAAAACTTTGGTGAAGTCTGGTGTAGTGGGCTTCCTGCTTCTGCCCCGCGCCTCCCTGCTTTGCGCCACGAGCCTTGAGTGCCGCAGGCCCCGAAGATGTGGACAGCCCCCCCCCTCCCCATTCTCCTCCTCAGAGCCCTTTGGATCACTCGAGTCTCTTTGCCGTTCCGTGTGAACCTGAAAACCAGCTCACTGGGAGGTGCCAAAGAGTCGTGCCGGGATTTCACGGGTGCTAAGCCTGCAGGTCTGGTCTGCACGCTGGTGCCCGTGCAGCAGCTCAGGCCACCCCTGAGCCCCGCGGCCTCTCTCATCCGCCGGCAGGTCCTGCACTGGCCTCATGTTCAGGTGTTTCCATTTGGCTTGGAGTTCCTACAAATGCAAGTTTTAGGAAGCTGACTTCTAGTCGTTCGTTGCTAATATGTAGACCTGGGACTGTTTATCTGTTGAACTTGTATCCTGTGATCTTGCTAATAAGCTCATTAGTTCGGGGGAGTTCACGTTTTCCCATTTCCTTGGGGGTATGCTGCATACGCTGTTGTGCCGTCTGTAAGCAAAGCTGTGTTTTCCCCTCCAACCAGCGTGACTTTCGTTGCCTTTTCTTGCCTTATGGCGCGGGCAGCCCTTCCTCTGTGTGCCGGGCGGCTGAGGGGGAGGCCTGTCTCTGCTGTCCCGCCCCCAGCATGACACTGGCCGTTCAGGGTGCGCCGTCTGCCCCTAGTTCTCCAAGAGTTTTAATCACAAATGGAGTTGAATTTTGTCAATTTTTAAAAATCAGTTGAGGAGATTTTGCTTTTTTTTACTTAGCCAGTCGGTGGGGTTAATTACATTGATTGGTTACAAATTCCAGGCCTAGAATTCCTGGAACAAACCTACATAGTGGTGGCAGATTATATTCGTTCCTTTTCATGTATAAGGAGTTCAGTTTGCTAGTATCTGGTTGAAGATCTTTACGTGTGTCTTCATAAAGGAATATTGGTTTACAGTTTTCTTTTTTGTATGTTTTCATCTGGTGTTGGCGTCAGGGTAATTGCTGACCTCAGAATGAGCTGAGAAGTAGTTCTTCCTCTTCTGTTTTCTGGGAGACATGACGTGGGATTGATGGTGTTTCACCTTTTGGTGTCAGGTTAAGTCCGCCTGGAGTTTTCTTTTTCAGAAGGTGGCTCGCTGTTCAGCTTCTTTGATGGATTAGGCTGTTCAGATGATCTGTTCACGATCAGCCGCAGTGTGTAGCTTCGGGATAGCACTGCGTACGGAGACACGTTGTTAGAGTTGTCACATTGTGTCCAGGCTCCCAGTCCCCCTCCTGGGCTTCTTGTTGATGAGACCCCTGGACCTCCTTTCGTTTCTGGTATTGGTGGTTTTGTCTTTTCTTTTCTTTGTTGGGCTACAGGTCTTATCAATTTCATTGCTCTTCCCAAAGAACTAGATTTTGTTTTTATTTTATCCTTTACTCTACATTTTATTTCCGTATTTTTTTTTATCTTTGATTTCATTTCTGCTTTTGTCTTCTTATTTCCTGGCCCCGCTCGCTTTGGGCTCCGTTGGCTCCTTTCCCGGGGTAGTGAGGTGGAGCCCAGCCCGGGCACTTGAGACCCTTCTCACTGCCCAGCGTGAGCGAGCTCAGGACCGGGTGTAGCTGCCTCCCGGGGTCTGTGCTCGGATCACAAGCCCACAAAGTACTTCTGGCTTCCCCTGAACTTTCCTCCTGGGCCGGAGTGCTGCCTACTGTCCCCAGTGGTTGGCGTTACCAGCCGCCTGTCTACTGTTGATTTCTTTTTGTTTGTTTGGGTTTTTTGTTTTGGTTTTAAATAGGCTACGCAGCCAACATGGGGCTCGAAGTCCTGACCTTGAGATTAAGAGTCTTGCGCTCCACCGACCAAGCTGGCCGGGTGCCCCTCTACTGTTGATTTCTAGCTGAGTCTCTGTGGGTCAGAGAACACACTTTACGTGACTTCTGTTTTTTAGAGATGAAGCAACTCTGGCTCTACGTGACATCTTTGCAGTCTGTTTCTGCAGACTCAGAGTGGCCCACCGGGCAGAGCAGGCTGGGCTTCCCCAGGGTGCATGTGTCGGGGACCGTCGGGGACCGTCAGGGACCGTCAGGGACACATCCCAGCCTGGAGCCTCCTGCTGCCAGTCACCTGCCTTGCTGCCCGGGAGGCCCTCACATCTGTGTCTGGCTCCTGTGGGCTCAGTGGAGTGCAGTGGCCCTGAGTGCCGCATTGTGACAGCCTGGCGCTCGGCCCAGGACGGGAGGGCATGGTTTGTGCCTGTCCTGGCTTATCAGAGAGGTGGCTGCCGTTGAGAGGAGAGTTTACTGTCTTTTACTGTCCCTAGATACAGAAGGCAGCAGGTCCTGGGGGCTGGCCATGGGTGTTTAGGGCAGGGGATAGTAGGTTGGTGTTGAGGGTGGGTTAAGGAGGGCTTCAGAGTTTGGGCTCTGGATTCAGGGGAGATGTAACGGGCCTGGCCATGAGTTCGCCCTATAATTAATGGATGTCAAATAGGTAAATACAGAATCTAATAAAACACAGAACAGGAGGGTCTTCATGCCCAGAATGGCGGTGGGGTGTCTGCTCCATGCCCAGGACCATGGTGCGTGTCTCTGCCCCATGGGTGGTTGGCAAGTGCTCAGGGAGCCCATGGAACTTTCCAAGGCCACACCGTTGACCACAGGCCCCCAGGACCCTGCCCCCTCTCGACCCAGGGCCCCGTATCCAGACTGGAGGCCACCTGCCTCACAGGGTCGCTCCCTGCTGTCTGGATGTAGAAGTGTGAGCAGGCGGACTGTCTGAGGTCAGCGGACGGCCGCACCCCTGTCCTGGCCACAGCCACGCCTGTCCTGCTGCTCGGGGTTAGACGCACCCTTCGGAGACTGAGTGACGACTCAGCGGGGCACAGACAGTGTCTCTCCGAAACAGGCCGGTGCCGGCACAGGGGTCTGGGGCCCGTCCCGGCAGCGGAGCTGTGTGGCAGGCGTGGCGGCCCTGACCCCAGGTGCACCTGTCGCAGGAGCAGCTCACCGGCTTCCGGGGAAGGAACCGGGCTAGGGCTTCAGGGAGCCGCAGAGGGAGATCCGGCCGAGTTCCGTGTTGCCCCCCGCTGCCCCCCATCCCCCCTGCCCGGGCTCCCTAGCTGGGTTCTGGGGGCCCTCAGGGGCCGCCGCCTCTCAGAAGTCCAGGCTGCGTGGACGGGGTCCTGTGATGTCAGGTGTGCGAAGCACACGCTGCAGCGACAGCAGAGGGAAGGGCGCCCAGGGACCTCGGGGCGCAGTGCGGGCGTGCCCCCGGGCCCCTGAGCTCCGAGCGGGGAGGAGGTGTGAGGAGGGGACGGTCGGGGCGGCTCAGGGCCTTGGTGCAGCCCTGGGGTCAAGATGAGGGGCGGGGCCGGGGCGTGGTCTAGAGGGGGCGTGGCCGGGAGGCCCGGTGGGCGGGTCGAAGTGAGGGGCGGGGCCGAGGGCGGGGCCTTGCTGCGGTAGCTGGGCTTCCGGTGGGCAGCCCGCACCTGGTACTGGGGGCCCATCCGGGTCCACGCGCCCCTCCCCGCACTCCCCTGCCCACAGACCTGCGTCCAGCCTCCCGCACAAGCAGGAGACTCGCCCCTGGAACCGCCTGGAGCAGGGGCTGCCGAGTGGCACGCACCACGGGCAGGGAGCCCTGAGGGCGGCCCTGGGCCTGGCCGAGGGCCCCGGGGAGACGGGAGGCCCACACCTGGGGCTGGAGCTGCCGAGGGCCCGCCCTCCCCGGGCTCGAGGAGCCGCGGGCGGGTGCGGGCCGGACTGAGCAGCCCTGTGCCCCCGGCAGGTTGTGCAGCCTGACCTTGAAGAAGCTGGTGGTGTTCACAGAGCTGGAGAAGGAGCTCGTCTCCGTGGTGATCGCCGTCAAGATGCAGGTGGGCATCAGCGCAGCCTGCCGCGCCGCCGGGAGATGGTGGGCCCGGCTGCCCGGCAGGCCCCCGCCCCCGGTGCTTCACCTGGAGGAGGGCCCTGATGCTCGGCATGGCTGGACCCCACATCCCCGTGAAGGGAAGTCCGTGTACAGGTCACTCGCACGTGCGCCTTCCCAGAGCAGAATCGTGGTGCAGGCCGGCCGCCACACCCTCACATGTATGCCTGGCACCAGCTGGCCCTTCTCCACCAGCCCTGACCCAGGGCCAGCCCGGCCGTGCCCACCTCTCGTCCTCACCCCCTCTCTGTCCCTCTGGTCCTCACAGGACCCTGCCTTGGAACCACTCACTGTTCCGGGAGGACCCACCCTGGGGGACAGTGACCCTCAGCACCGCCCTCACCCAGCCCCCGGCCACCGTGCAGGAGGGTCTCCTTCAGGGACACCAGCTCCTCATCCACTTCCCAAGTCCGGGGGCTCTCAGCCCTCGGCTGCTCATACCGTGCCTCACATGGCCTTTTGCAGACGCGGCCCCCACCGATGGGCCGGCTCTGCGGACCCCTCCCTCTCCCAGGGGCCATGCTCACAGGCGTCCGCACGTGCTGGCACCTCCTCCGAGTGGCCCCCCTGCAGCTCTGCCTCACGTTGGAGCCCCCAGACCATCAGCCCCACGGGACACAGTGCTTGCTTCACCCCCGGCTCAGGCTGCTGGAGCCCCCACTCACGGACTCTGTGAGCTCAGGGGCAGGGGTGCTGGTCCACACACTTTATCACTCCGCGTGGGCTGGGAGTAGCCAGTGCCATGTGGTCCTGAGCCGTCCACCCGCCCGCACAGCTGTGCCCGGGACCCCTCCCCACTGCTCGTCACCCGCCGTCCTGTTGTTTTTGTCCTGCACCCACGCCTGCTCCTGCTCTCGGCCGCTTCTCTGCACCCTCCTCTTGGGCAGCCGTCTCAGGCCCCCCCCCCCCGGTAGCCACTGCTCTCCTTTGTGGCTCCAAACCCACCTGCTCTTGGTGCCCTGCAGATGTGGGGCCACACCGTGTCCGTCCCGTGGCTTCCTGCACTCAGGATTCAGCCTCCCGGTCGGTCCACGTTCTCCTGCTCTGTCCATGTTGGGACAGCCGTTTAAAAATTTTCTTTTATGGTTTATTTTTGAGAGAGACAGAGTGCAAGTGGGGGAGGGGCAGAGAGAGGGAGGGAGACACAGAATCCGAAGCAGCTCCAGGCTCTGAGCCGTCAGCACAGAGCCCGACGCGGGGCTCAGACCCACGAACCGTGAGATCATGGCCTGAGCGGAAGTCGGACGCTCAACCGACTGGGCCCCCAGGTGCCTCTGGGTAAAACAATACTGTGAGGAACATCTTTAATGCATTTGGGATTAATTTTGGTAGAGTTTGAGGTTAGGATCTGTGTTTGTACAAATGACTGGCTATTCTCTTCCTGCAGCTGTTCAGTGATTAGCCTCTCCTGGTATCTGAGACCTCATCATACACGGGGTTTTGTGCATGTGTCTGTGTGTTTGCGGCTGTATTTCTAGACGCCTCATCTGGTCCCCGTGGTGGTACCCGTGCCGGGTGTTAATCATCACACCTTGCACCATGTTTTGCTTCCTGGGGAGGCATCACCCTCAGAAACGCTTGGCCTCTCGCACACCTGCCCTTCCAGGTGTTGCCCATTTTCCCCTGACCCCGCTGCTGCTCTGTCACGCGGAAGGCGGTCCCTGCCACACCGTGGTCAGCAACAGGAGGGCTCGGAGGGTCGAAGGACGTGGGCGCTTTTAAGCCCCTGCCCGGCCTGTGGCTCTTCATCCTGAGCGGTTTCGGGAGCCCCCGCTCGGTCCCCCCCCCCCCCCGTGAGAAGCTGTGCTATTGTATCCCAGGGCTCCAAGCGGATCCTGCGGTCCCATGAGATCATGCTGCCCCCCAGCGGACAAGTGGAGACCGACCTGGCGCTGACGTTCTCGCTGCAGGTGGGCCTGCCCTCCCCGCCGGGCCCCTTAGAGGATGCGCGCGCGCGCTCGGTTAGAGTTTTCCCTCCTGCTCCTTCCGGGAGGAGAACGTAGTGAGACCTACACCCCCTCAGAAGGCCGTGTTGGGAGCACCTGGCTGGCTCCGTCGGCGGAGGTTGTGAGTCCGAGCCGTTGGGTGCAGAGGTTACTGAAATAAAGAAAACCTTTTTAAAAAGGCCATATTGTTCCCATGTGTAGAAGAGGCGGGGAGAATATACGGACCCTCAGTACTGCAAGTTCAGGCCCCTTTGAAGCGTGCTGGGTTCAGTGCAACCAACCGAGGCACGCGCCCCCCAGCAGGAAGCAGCCCTGCCCTGGGACCCCCGGAGCACTGGCCTCCCTTCCTCTTTGTGGGGCTGTTTTGAGGGTCGCTGCCACCCTTGTCACACACTGGCTTTAAAGATGAGCTGCTGTGGTGCCAGATCGAGTCTCTCCTCCGGTGAGAGCCCCGCCCGCCCAGGCCTGCCTGGCTGTGCCTGGGGCAGGGGGCTCGTGACCCTAGTTCTGGCCGCCACAGGACCTTCTGGGTTACGTGCTGAATTTTTTTGAGGGGCCAGTTGTATGGGAGTGTCGTTCACAAGGTGTGCAGTGCAGTCCACCCTCATAGGAGCTCAGCTCCGGGGCCATGACAGCTGTGCACAGTGTATGGCCTCTGCTTCGGGCGCAGGAGCCCTGTGGCAGCAGCCCCGGCCTGCTCGGCAGGGCAGCCTGGACCAGCCCAGCTCCAGGCCCATGCCCTCTGCAGTCTGCATCGTGGGCAGCTGTGCTGGGTGGCCACAGCCCCACTGATTGCCCAGAGGCCCGGCAGTCTGCTCACATCTGCCAGCGGCGGCTTTTACTGTGTCCCTGGCTGAGGCACACGGTGGCCCGGCGAGGAGTGAGCCTGGCTGGCGTGGTGGCTGGCACAGATGGCGGGTGACTCCCCCTCTCTGCAGTACCCTCACTTCTTGAAAAGAGAAGGCAACAAGCTTCAGATCATGCTGCAGCGGAGAAAGCGGTACAAAAACCGAACGATCTTGGGCTACAAGACGCTGGCAGCGGGCTCCATCAACATGGCCGAGGTGAGCACACCCTGCTCGGCCGGCTGACCACCCCACCCCCTCCGTGTGCCCCGACCCGACGGCCTGGGTGGCCGGGCTGCCCTTTGGCCAAGGGTAGATCCTGGCCCAGTGTGGGTCCGTCCCGCGCTCTTCTGGAGGGAGTGTCTGGCAAGCACCCCCGCCCCAGCTGGTCCCTCCCGGGACATTCCCTTCCAGCGGCCCTGCCTAGGAGGGTGGCGCGTGCTTGCTCTGGGTCAGGGGTTGACGTATCAGGAAGCTCCCTGGGGTATCAAGGGCTGTTCATCAGAACAGCACCCGACTGACCGATGCCACCTTGTCCTGGAGGACCTGGCGTCCCACGGTGTGGCTGGTGCGGGGCTCAGGAACGGAGCTCTGAGCCTCTCCCGGGGCCTCTGGGAGCCGTGGGGTGGGCCCTGGTGTCTCTTGTGCTGTGGGGTCTCCGCCACTGTGGGGTGGCAGTCCGTGCTGTCTAGGCCAATTTGATGCCCACACAGAGCTGTGCTAGTGCCCGCCTGGGGCAGGGCAGGGTGGCACGTGTGAGTGGGTGGCCAGGCTGACCCTGCGCCGTCCTCATGTGGCCCGGGACTCCCACGCGGGGCTCAGACGATGGCAGTGCTGGGTTGAGGGACCAGTGTGGGCCGCAGGCTGTTACCACGGGTGCGCGGAGGCGGGTGCCCCTCTCCCTGGTGGGCCTGCCTGGCGGGTGCTGGCTTTGCAGCCCGAGCCCTAGCCCTAGCCCATGCTGCTGGCCGGTCCTTCATGGGCCCCCACAGACATAGGCCCCTGGACTTGGATCCCGGGGGTTGGTGGCCCAAAGTCCCAGTGTTGGCTGCTGAAGTCCCTCCCCTCTCTGGCAGCCTCAGTCCCAGTCAGTGCCGACCCCCAGCTCTTGGCCGGTGGCCTCCTGTGACCGGAACACCCTCTCCCAGAGCCTCTTGTGCCGCTGCCCCCCAGTCCTGTCTCTTGCCTGCTGTTTGCCCTTGTTCACACGCACCCAGGAGGTGGGGCTGCCAGGTGCTGGCCCTGCCCTGTGGAGCCTTCTAGAGCTGAGCTCTGCCCCCAGGTGATGCAGCACCCGTCCGAGGGCGGCCAGATTCTGAGCCTCTGCAGCAGCATCAAGGAGGCCTCGGTGAAGGTGGCTGAGATCTGGATCTTCTCCCTGTCCAGCCAGCCCATTGACCATGAGGACAGCGCCATGCAGGCTGGGCCCAAGGCCAAGTCCGCAGGTGCGTCTGCCTTCCTGTCCTGCTGGGTTTGAGAAGCCGGGGAGGGGCCGAGAGGGTTTGTGGGTTTCCCTCTGGGCTGCAGCCTGACAGCAACATCATGCCTGCTCTGGACGCCTGGCCTGGGGGTCCCATCCCCGCATCCCATCTCTGTGCCCCGCGCCCTGTGCCCCATGTCCCAGCTCTGTGCCCCACGTCCCAACTCTGCCCCGCGTCCCAGCTCTGCAAGCTCAGCGGAGGTCATGGAGCTGACCGCAGTGCCTTCCAGGGTCTGGCACAGGTGCCAGCATGGCTGTTGCTGCCATCACCATGGGGCCACTGTCCCCCTGAGGTGTGGGAAGGCCCGTGGGGGACACAGTCAGGCACAAGGTCCAGGCTCAAGTGTCTGAGGCCCGTGGGGGCTGCTGTGGGAGTGGAGCGGTGAGGCCCTGCCCCCACCCGGAAGTGCTGTGGCTCCCATGTGCCCGGAAGGCCGGTCCTCTGGCTGCCGCCTCATTGCCGGGACACCGGTCGGAATCTCAAGGGGCTCCCCATTCTGTTTGCTCATTCCGTAGATAACTATTCTGAGGAGGAGTATGAGAGCTTCTCCTCCGAGCAGGAGGCCAGTGATGATGCCGTGCAAGGGCAGGTAACTGGGTGTGGCCCGTGCGGCCTCAGGGCTCCCTGCAGCCCCCAGCAGACAGCCCAGGGCGCTCCCGCTGGTCCCCAGTGCAGGCGGCGCTGGGAGGGGAGGTAGAGGCGGGGGTGCAGACCTGCAGGTACGGCCCTCCCAGCCCGGGGCTCCCTGTCTCCCCAAGGACTTGGACGAGGAAGACTTCGATGTGGGCAAGCCCAAGAAGCAGCGGAGATCGATAGTAAGAACGGCGTCCATGACCAGGGTCGGTGGAAACTGGTTTTACTAACACTGGGGGAGGGTGGGGGTCGGGGGGCCCCGGGTGGGGGGCTGGGAGGTGAGGCTGCCCCCTGGCCTGGCCCTGCTGGCTTCCCCTGAGGCCCAGTCCCTTAGATGCTATGTGAACACGCCGCCTCGAGCCGCTGACCATGGTCCTTCAGAGCCTCCCTGGCAGGGTCTAGGCCTCACCCCAGGCTGCTGCTTCTGGCCCCTGGGGCAGGAGAGGAGGCGGGGGGGGGGGGTGCCTGTGTTCCCAGACCACCACTGCTCAGGCCACTGCAGCAGCAGAGCTGGGAGGCTGTCCCCTTCCCTTGTTTCTGCTCAGCGTCTGGCCCGCCCGCCCGGCACAGGGGCCCTGGGGGTGGGCAGGCCCGCGGGGCTTCTCCTCCAGGGGGAAAGCTCCACGCGGGGGCCTCAGCCCATCACGGGGCGCCCACCACTGGGAGAGTTCCCAGAGCCATGCGGCTCCTGTGTGGGGGACGTCCTGCACGGTGGTGGACACGGGAGCCTCGAGGAGAGGGGGCCATGGCGCCCAAGCCCAGACTCCTCCCCACCCCCTCTGGAGGCCCTGGCACAGCGGGTGGGGCGGCACCCGTGTGAGCCTCCATTCACATTGAGGGTCGTGCAGGGGAGCGTGGGCCCCCTCTGCTAGGGCCGCCCCCTTGAGGGTGGCTAAGGGCGGCTGTCGCACTCGTGACCAGAGCTCGCACCCTGAGGCCCAGAGCAGCACTGGGCACACACGGAGCTTGTGGTCTCTGTTGAGGCTTCCGCGTCCCCGCCGCCCCGCCCGTGTCCACCCCTGGGTCCCACAGGAGGGAGGTGGTGCCACAGAAAGGGGCCGGTGACAGGAGGCGCACGCCCCCCTGCGCCCCTCTCGGCACCCCTCCCAGGTCTGTCCCCAAGTCCAGTGCCACTGGGGTCCCAAATGCTGGCAAAGGGCCAGTGCTGTTGGCAAGTGAGAGCCGCGCTCGCACAGCCGGGTCAGGCTGTGCATCCGCGCCTCCCTGCCGCCAGCTGCAGCGGCTGGCCGCGCCCTCGGCAGGGACCCCGCCCCTTCGCCCTTCGGTTCTGATTCTGTCCTCGCTGGTCTTGCAGCAGCAGAACTTCAAGCAGAAGGTTGTGGCCTTGCTGCGGAGGTTTAAAGTGTCAGACGAGGTGAGTGGGGTCCGCCCGCACCCCTGGCCCACGGTGGGCGTCCCGGCGAGGCCAGGGCTCTGGGGGCACCTGGACTGCGTCTTGGCTCTGCTCTGACAGTCCTGGGTCCCCCGGCCCCCACGACACCTCGGGGGTCGAGCAGCGGCTGCCCGAGCGTCCCTCAAATCACAATGCAGTGAGCAGACCGGGAGGGAGCTGGACCACATTCGGGTGCGGCCACGAGTTCTGTGTTCTGGTTGGTTCTCAGCCGCCTGTATGCTGGAGCGGCTTCAGGTTTGCAGAGCTGAGCAAAGAGCAGCTTCCGGGGGCCCCGTCAGCACACACCCAGCCGCCACCACGGACGCGCCGTGGCACTCGAGCTCCCTCTCGTAGCTGTTTGCTGCACCAAGTGTGCAGTGATGGGTTTGCCCACCTTTATGACCAGAAGAAAAATTCTTGGTTTTACCGTTAACGTGGGCAGAGGGAAACTAGTCCGTGGGTTCTGTATACACCCGGGAGAGGTGGCAGGTAAGTGTCCCAGGTGTCACCGCCACATGTGGATGTGGCAGAACTGAGGGCGACGGCCACTCATGCGCACACGGGAGGCCCCCGGGCGCAGGCGCTGGAGTCGGGCTCCCCCCAGATTGCCCCCCAGACTCAGGACAGTCCCTGTCACCTCCTAAGCTGCCAGACCAGCTGGTCCAAAAACTTGTAGAAACGCAAGGGACTCAGATTACATAGAATAAATCATCTTTAAAAAAAAATTTTTTTTAATGTTTATTTCTGAGAGAGAGAGAGACAGCGTGAACAGGGAAGGGTTGGAGAGAGAGGGAGACACAGAATCAGAAGCAGCTCCAGGCTCCAAGCTGTCCGCACAGAGCCGGACGCGGGGCTCAAATTCACAAACCATGAGATCATGACCTGAGCCGAAGTCGGACGCTCAACCGACTGAGCCACCCAGGCGCCCTAAATCCTTCTATTTATGGCCAACTGATTTCGGACAAGATTGCTGAGACTACTTGACAGGGGAAGAATAGGCATTACAGCACAGCGATGGCACAGCTAGGTTCTGACGTGCCAGAGAGAAGCGGGACCCCTGCCTCGCACTGTGTGTGAACACTGACTTGAAGTGGATCCAGGACCCAGTGCAAGGCTGTACGCCGTGGGCGTCTCGGGAAGGCAGAGGAGTGGTGTCCGTGGACGGGCCGGGCAGTGGCTTGGATGGAACACCGGAAGCACCAGCAGCCAAAGAGAGAACAGGTGGTTGGACCCTCAAAACGTAAAACTCCTGTGCTCTGAGCAGCCGTCCCAAAGATGAATTGGCGGCCGTAGGATAGAAGGTTTTTACAGATTTTAGACCCGACACGAGACTAGTACCCAGAAGGTGGAGAGCACGCTTCCAACCCAAAATAAAAAGACTACACGGGTAAGAAATTAATTATTCAGCATAACAGTTGGTCAGAGAGTCTGATGAGACGTTTTCTCCCAAGAAGATATCAAAACAGCCGGCCACCCTGCGATAAGACGCTCAGCACGGCGGGGTGTCCGGGAGGCGCAAGTGAGAGCCTCACCGGTACACAGGCGCCGCCCGCCAGCGGCTGCGACTTCGAGCGGAGCAGGCAATGCTGGCGAGGGTGTGGAACCCCAGACACGGCGTGCAGGCGGAGAGCCGCCTACACTCCTCCAAGTGATTCCGCCAGCGTTGGCGTTCCTGGCATCCACAGTCGAGAGATCCACGCGCGTCCACGCAGAGACCGGCAGGCAGTCACGGAGGCTTCGTCTGGGGCAGCAAACCCCAGGACCTCCACCCCTGGCAGCGGGTCAGACCGCGGGCCGCGTTCGGGGCGCGCAGCAGCGAGGACTCGCGGGCAGACGCGAGGCGGACGCTCTCACGTGTCCACCGGGTCCGAGAAGTGCCACGCGGGGGGCCGCTTGCCGTGTGGCTCCATCTCTGTGGCGTTCTGGACGAGGGACAGAAGTGGGTTCCGTGGGAGCCTGAGGAGGCGGAGGGGGCAGGGAAGGGCCAGGGAGACCCCGGGGAGGGAACCCCACGCGGGGCCGTGCTGCTGGCCACACAGCCGTGCCCGGCGGCCGGCGGCCCCGCATGTGACCCCAGCGCCTGGCACACCCGGGCTGCTGGCATGTGCTGCACAAGGGCCTCCGGCGGCTCGGCACCGTCTTCCCGCCTGTCCCGCTGAGGGGCCCCGCCGAGCCGGCTCGCCCACGCACCTGCTGTCGCCTAGGTCCTGGACTGCGAGCAGGACCCCGCGGAGCGTGTCCGCGAGGCGGAGGAGGACCTGGACCTTCTGTGTGACGCGCTGGACGTGGAGCGCGCCAGCGACAGCGGCCCCGACCTGGAGGAGGATGACAGCGTGCTCAGCGCCCCCAAGCCGCGGCTGCGGTGAGCGCCGGCCCGGGCGTCGCGGGGAGCTCGCTTTGCAGCCCCTGCTAAGCATGCTGACAGGAGAGCGGTCGGGAGGCCTTGGGGGCTCAGGGATGGAGGGGTGCGGGCTCTGCGTGCGGCGGGTGCTCGGGTCTTCCTGGGGTCCCGGTGGGGCCGAGCGAGGCACCCGTCACAGGAGGGGCCCTTCCGTCTCGTGGGGAGACAGGCTGCTGGGGTCGCAAGGCCTCCCTGGGTGCAGAGGCGGGGAGCGGGCGTGTCCCCAAGGAGCAGGGCGTCAGCCTGGGCAGGCCAGAGAGGGCAGGCCCCAGCCCTGGGGGCGTCACTGTGGGGCCCAGGGAGGCCGCCAAGGGGGGCCACGTGGGAGTCCAGAGCCTCCTGGGTCTGGTTTTCACATCTTGATGGAAGTCGGTTGGATGGAGACTCGCACACAGGGAGGGGGGCTCTCTTTGCAGCCACTGACCCTCCAGTCGGCCTGTTGTGGGGGCGCCTGTGGCGTCTGTGGCTCTGGTTCAGGGTCAGTCTCTGGCCTTTGCTGTGGCTCCGGGGGTCCAGCTCGGCCCACTTGGCTTCCTGCCTGCCACCCACCCACCTGCAGAGCCAGCAAGGCCGGAGGCCCCTCGGGCTTTGCCCCCGTCCGCTGGACCGGGTCTCGTTTCTGTCACCTCTGGGTGACCCAGGTCACCTCCAGGTCGCTGGCGGCTGGCACTCACTGTCCTGGGAGCCTGCATGGCACCGCAGGCCCTGGTCCTGCCCTCACTCTCACGTTTCCACGTCCCTGGTGGCGCTGTCACCAGACTCTGTGCACCCCGTCCACTGTGTCAGCCCGAGAAGCTGCTTTTTTTTTAAAAAAAAACAATTTTTTATGTCTTTATTTTATTTTGAGAGACAGAAACCACGCAGGGGAGGGGCAGAGAGAGAGGGAGTCACAGACTCTGAAACAGACTCCAGGCTCTGAGCTGTCAGCACAGAGCCCAAAGAGGGGCTTGAACCCACGAACCGTGAGATCATGACCTGAGCCGAAGTCAGACACCTAACTGACTAAGCCACCCAGGCGCCCCAGCCTGAGAAACTTAGTTGTTTGTTTTTTTTTAACGTTTCTATTTATTTCTGAGACAGAGAGAGAAAGAGAGAGAGAGAGAGGAGAGCACAAGCAGGGGAGGGTCAGAAAGAGAGGGAGGCACAGAATCTGAAGCAGCTCCAGGCTCCGAGCTGTCAGCACAGAGCCCGACGCGGGGCTCGAACCCATGAACTGTGAGATCATGACCCGAGCCGAAGTCAGACCCCCAGCCGACTGAGCCCCCTAGGCGCCCCCAGCCAGAGAAGCTTCTAAGTCTCTTTGAATCTGTGTCCCCCATCCCCCTCCCGGCTGTCTGCTGGGGACAGTGCATTTGACCTGGCCGGCCTGGGTTCGCTGGACCCTGCGGACAGCCCCGTCGTTGTGCTGTTGAGCCTGCACTCCTGCGAGCTGGGGCCTGAGGTCCCCCGGCTGGAGGACCGCTGGGTGCAGCCACCGGCCTGGGCACCAGCCGCCCTGCCCAGGGTGCAAGCCTGGAGGGGCCTCTGCTGTGGGCGTCAGGCCGGAGAGGGTGTCGGGTCCAGGGGGGTGTCAGGCTGGGAGGGGCCGGGTCTCGGGGATGAGGTCCTCTGCTGTGGACGTCAGAGCCAGTGGAGGACCTGACCTGACGGGGACTGCAGGGCGTCCTGTCTTGGGCTGTGGTTCCCTTGCCCCACACCAGCCCTGTGTGGCCGCCAGACCCCAGGGCGCAGCGGCTGAGCCATCAGCATGGGGAAGAGTCCTGGAGGGTGACCTCTGTCCATCCTCATGCCCAGGCCCTACTTTGAGGGGCTGTCACACTCCAGCTCACAGACGGAAATCGGGAGCATCCACAGCGTCCAGAGCCACAAGGAGCCCCCGAGTCCGGTGAGCGGGCTGGACGCGGCCACTGTGCACTCTTGCTGGGACCCCAGACCTCGGGCGGGCTGTCCGGGGTTTCCCGTCTCTGGTCGCTCAGGGTGTTGCTTGCTAGCCAGTGTCAGACCAGCCCAGAGCCAACCGCGCTCCTGGGTCTGTGTGTGGCCGGGACCTACCTGCCTGATGCCAGGAGGCTGTCACGGGGAGACCGAGCCTGCGGCCTAGGGAAGCCCTGGCCAGTCTTCCCAGGCTGCCCCCCAAGCCCAGATCCCCCTGCCCAGAGGTGAGCCAGCCTCAGCGCCCACCAGTAAATGTATCCTGACTCCCATCTTGTCCATACAGGCTGACGTGCCCGAGAAGACTCGGGCCCTGGGAGGCAAGCAGCCGAGCGACAGCGTCTCTGACACCGTGACCCATGTGAGCAGGCGCAGGGCCCACTCACACCCTGTCTCAGGGCTCTGAGGCCAAGGTCCTTAGTTTACACCCCACGGCGTGGTCAGCGTCCCCTGGGTCACTGGGGACAATAGGTGTCCCCCGTGTGGCTGTCAGCACAGACCCCGTGCACGCTGTGGTAGCCTCTGTGCCCTCATGGGGGTTCTCAAGGAAAGTGTCCAGGGCCACAGGACAGGTTTTAGGGGGATTTGGGGGAGGTCTGGTGCTTGGCTCCTCAGGCCAGCGTGTCCAGAGGCACGCAAAGAGCAGAGAGCTGTCAGCCCAGAAAAAGTCCAAGCACCCCCACCCACACCAGGGACTCGTCGCCTAGGAGGCCGACCCTCAGGAGGCCCCCACAGGGTTCCCAATGAGCCTCCTTCTCTGCACATCAGAGCACCCCCGCCCCTGGGGAGCAGCCGGCACAGCCTGAGGACAGCCCGGAGGTGGGGACCTCGGCCCTGGATGTGTTCACTGAGAAGCTGCCGCCCAGTGGGCGGATCACCAAGACGGAGTCTCTGGTCATCCCCTCCACCAGGTGACGGCACGCCCTGGGGGGCTGTCGGCTGGGCATCGCCCGCGTGGGCCAGTGTGGCGGGCAGGGCCCCGGGTGACCAGACGAGAAGCACAGAGACGTGTGGGCCTACTCAGAGGCCCACAGTGGGCCCCCCGCACCCCTTGCTGGGGCTGAGGTGTGGTCTCTGTGGCCGCTCACGTTCTCGGCCACCTGCACCTTGCGGCCCCCGCGTGGCCCCGGGCACCGGTGTGGGAGGAGGGGGCCCAGTGCCGTCAAGCTGGAGCCCCACACGGTGGCACCGGGTCCAGCGCAGGAGCCCCAGGGGGCCTGGACCCTGCCCCGCAGGCTCGTCGAAGAGGCGGGGCTGCGTTGCAGCTCTGCAATGGAAGATGCTCTCAAGGGGGCTCTCGCATGCCCTGCCCCCCGCCGTCTTGGTCGGGCTCGGGGTCGTCTCCGAGCCCCTCCCTGGGATGCGCCTCGGGCCCGTCTTCCTCACCTTCCTCGGGCGCCTGGCCGAACTCCCAGCCGCGGCCAGAACCCTCGTTCCTACCCCAGCAGCGGGGCTGGTGTGGCGCCCCTGCCCCTTCTCTGCTTTCACACGTTGAACTGGGCCTCGTGCCGGGGTTAAAGCACGTGTGTGAGTGTGCCTGACCCATCCACGCTCACCCCGCGGATGGGCCCTCGCATCCTCCACCCGCCCCACGGGAATCCGCCGCTGCCCCCAGTGCTCGGCAGCCCCCTTCCCTGGGGCAGTGAGCGCACGCGTGCGGGCCTGCCCCAGCCTCTCCTGGTCCCCCAGGTCCGAGGGGAAGCAGGCCGGCCGCCGGGGCCGGAGCACATCCCTGAAGGAGCGCCAGCCGGCCCGGCCGCAGAACGAGCGGGCCAACAGTCTGGACAACGAGCGCTGCCCCGACACGAGGAGCCAGCTGCAGGTGCGTCTCCGGGAGGGGCCACGGCCACCCACGACCCACCCGGGGCCAGATCCGACCGTCCACGCAGTCTTCAGCCCACTGACCTCTGTCCAAAGCAAAGCCACGTTCCTGAGCAGGAGCGGGCCTGGGTTGTCCTTCCCACTCCTGGGCGGCTGCTGGGCGGCGAGGGGACGCAGCCCCTTCCCACCTGGTGTGGACGGGCCTGTGTCTGCAGATCCCCAGGAAGACCGTGTACGACCAGCTAAACCACATCCTCATCTCTGATGACCAGCTGCCTGAAAACATCATTCTCGTCAACACCTCCGACTGGCAGGGGCAGGTGGGGGGGGAGTCCTCCCTGCAGAGGGGGGGTGTCCTTCCTGCAGAGGGGGGAGGGGAGTCCTCCCTGCAGGGGGGGTGGTGTCCTCCCTGCAGAGGGGGGAGGGGAGTCCTCCCTGCCGGGGGGGTGTCCTCCCTGCAGAGGGGGGAGAGGAGTCCTCCCTGCCGGGGGGGGTGGTGTCCTTCCTGCAGAGGGGGGAGGGGAGGCCTCCCTGCCGGGAGGGTGTCCTCTCTGCCTGGGGGAAGGGGGAGTCCTCCCTGCAGAGGGGGGAGGGGGCCGTGGCCGTCCCGCGAGGCGTGGAGCCGGCAGGGAGGCCGGGTGGAGTTCTGAGGCCCCCGCGCCCTCATCCCCAGTTCCTGTCGGAAGTCCTGCAGAGGCACACGCTCCCCGTGGTGTGCACGTGCTCCGCGGCCGACGTCCAGGCGGCCTTCAGCACCATCGTCTCGCGGATACAGAGATAGTGAGTCCAGCTGCCACGTGTGAGGCGGCCGGGGGTGTGTCGGGGTCCCTGCACCCCAGCCTGGCCTGACGCTCTGTCCTGGGGGCTGTGGGCGGGCTCCAGATGAGCCCAGTCACAGGCTCCCCACGGCCCGTCCCCCGTCCAGATCCGGGGTTGGTGGGAGTTCCTGCAGTGGGGGGGGGGGGTGCTGCTGGGTGTGGCCAGCAGGGGGCACGGTGCTCGCTTCCTCCTGGGCTGGGGACCCCCTCAGGCTCAGTGGGGTGGTCCTGGCAGCAGGACGGCGCCCTGAGGCCTCTGTCCCCTCTGTGTCCTGCCCTCGGGGCCTCAGCTGCAACTGCAACTCCCAGCCCCCGACCCCCGTGAAGATCGCCGTGGCGGGAGCGCAGCATTATCTCAGCGCCGTGCTGCGGCTGTTCGTGGAGCAGCTGTCCCACAAGACACCCGACTGGCTGGGCTACATGCGCTTCCTCATCATCCCGCTGGGTGAGGGGCTGGCATGGGGGCGGGGCTGTGCTGTGCACACACCCCACGTGCCTCCTTGTCATCCACTGGGCGAAGACACCATTTGTCTTATGACGAAACTTGTAAACGTCAACGTGACGGAGAGTGCTGGGTCTTGGGGGAGAGACTGGCCGGTGCCCGAGCCCCGCTTGTGGCCTGCAGGACACCCCCGGGCCCGTGGGGAGGGCTCCGGTGGGGCAGGCGCTGCGGCCTGACCCTCTCCCCGTGGCCTGCAGGCTCCCACCCCGTGGCCAGGTACCTGGGCTCCGTGGATTACCGCTACAACAACTTCTTCCAGGACCTGGCCTGGAGAGACCTGTTCAACAGGCTGGAGGCCCAGAGCGCTGGTGAGGCCCAGGGAGAGCCGGCGGGCGAGGCTTCGCGGCCTCTGTCAGAAGCAACGGGGCCTCGGCTGGTGCCCCCCTCTGTCCACCATGGGCCTCAGGGCGAGGGCTCCTAGAGATTGTAGGGGCCTCACTGCCCTTGCCCGGGACCCCTTGAGGGTGGAGGGCAGAGGGCCCGCTCAGCCACCCCCGGTATGGCCCCTGCTCCTGGGCAAACGTGGAGAGGGAGAGAGGCGTGGCACCCCACGGACCCTGCCCGAATTCCTCCTGCAGTGCAGGACACCCCGGACATCGTGTCCAGGATCACGCAGTACATCGCGGGCGCCAACTGCGCCCACCAGCTGCCCATCGCAGAGGCCATGCTGACCTACAAGCAGAAGAGGTACCTCATTGGGCCCTGGGCTGGGCAGGCTGTGGCGGGGGACGGGGGGGTGGCTGGGTGTACCCGGCTCCACACAGCAGACACGGACCCCCGGGCGGCACACTGGGGGCCCCTCAGGGTGGCCATCAGGGACAAACCCGGCTGGGCTTGGGGGCAGCCGTGAGTGGGCGTGGCAGCCCCGGGCCGCCCTCTGCGTCACTCACAAGAAGGCAGCCACCTGCTTCCTGGAATGCAGGCACAGGCTCCTTCCCCACCCTGGGCTTCCCGGGCCGTCAGGGCGGAGGGCAGCGGTGGGCACTGGGGCTGAGGGCGGGCCGAGGCCCGGCTGCCGGGCCCACGTGGGCGAGGGCCAGTGCCCGGGAGGCGGGGAGGTGGGCTGCAGACTCCGCAGCATCTCTGCTCACGTCTGGGGGCGCTGCACGGCTCTCCTGAGGGCTCAGCTCCGGCTCTTCCTGCGCGAGGGCCGTGCTGTCCCCGAGCTGCATCCCCGCGCGTAACAACGGGTCTGTGTTTTCTCTCTCGGTGGCTTTCTGAAAAGGAAAAAGAACTTTCATTTTGACTTTACCCTCAGGTACCGCTGTCCCTGGGTCTGCACCCCTCTGCCCCCAGGCTGGTCTTTAGGGCTGTTTAGCAGTGTGAGCAGGTGGGGTGCGTCCCTTACCCCCCACCCACCTCTCCGTGGGCCGCGAGGGGCAGCACCTCGCCAGGCAGGGCCCCGCCCCCCAGGCAGCGGGCAGGTGGCCACCCCGGGCCAGGACTTTGCTCACGGCCCGCGGGGTTGAAGGGGCACCGAGATGGAGAGCCGGCAGGCCGTCCTGTCCGCTTCAGCCCAGAGTCCGAGTTGGAGAAGTGGCCGAGTTGAGCCCCTCAGCGAGTTTCCGTGTCCGAAGCCACAGCGGCTCCACTTCCTACGTTAGAAGCAGGTGCTTGGGTGTCACCATGAGACACCGACCACTGATCCCACGCTGGCCACGTGCGGGCCTCCTTGTCGGCACATGGTATTTGTGCACCTGGCTCGGGTCACCCCTCTGGAAGGACAGCGTGGGTGCTGCTTTTGCACGTGGGGAGCCTGCCCCGGGGTGGCCCCGGCCCCGGGACCCCGGGCGGCCGACACAGCATGGAGGGTCTCCCAGCCAAGCCTTGGGTTAGGCCAGACCACTAAGACCCCACGTGCAATAAAGGGCTTTTCACCCCCAAGGCGGCTCCGCCATCTGAAGAACCCACAGCCCCAGGACCCGCCCACAGCTGCCCTTTCATCTGGGGCCCCCTTTCCTGTCTGTCCTGGCGGCCTGCCTGCCGGGTCCCTCCCCCGAGGCCCTGCTCCGCCCCGGGTCTTGGGTTCTTTCTCTCCTGGAAAAGCACAAACCAGGACAGGGTCACTGGCTCCAGACAGCACTCTGGCTGGACCCTGAGACAGTCCAGGAGGAGGGGTCTGAGCCCCCACATTGTCCTGCTAAACAAGCCTTTGTGAGTTAAAGAAAGGCCAGCCGCGGTGTGCCCGCCGACCGCTGCGGAAGCCTGCAGCCTGCTTCGCTGCCTGGCCACAGCGTCTCGTCTCCCCCACGCTGGCTCCTCTGAGCCTCAAGCCAGGGCTTTAGGGGACCCTGTGCCTCCTGCCCCCACGTCTGCGTCACAGCGGTGACACCGGCACCTGGGGTAGGGCTCCAGACACCCTGGGTGGAGCCCTGTGAAGGCCCCGTGTGTTGGCCACCCTTAGAGCCCAGGGCCAGGGGGTCAGCAGGTGGTGATGGAGAACAGAGGGGCCAGGAGACCAGGAGCAGGCGGGCCCCGTGGGAGCACCTGCACAGAAGGCCTACACAGCACCCAGCTCGTGGGCCGTGGCCAGACCGCCCCGGCTGTGTGCGGCCCGGGCGGCTCCCTCAGGGCACCAGGGTCGGGGGACGCTCGGGGCCCCACATCCTCAGTGCCCCTCAGCTTCATGTCCCTAGTGTCGTGTTGAGGCACGTTTCGTGGTCTCGTGAGCCAGACCGAGGGGCCCTCACCACGGAGCCACATGTGTGTTCTGTCTGCGTCCTGAGTTTAGGCAAGCCGGTGTCACCCCTGTCCCGCTGGGCGCGTGTCAAGTGCTGAATGTTGTCTGCATGGCCCAGCAGCTCGGCTTGGCTTCTGAGAGCCCAGCTACACCCTTGTGTGGGGGCGCTTCCTGTCCGCCCCTGCGCGCCTCCGTCTGCCTCCCCGCACAAGGCTCATGGGGCGGGTCCTGGGGCCCCGTGGGTGGGAGCCTCCCCTGCACCGGGCTGGGGAGGCCCTGAGGGACCCCCTGTCTTGTGCCGCCTCGCATGCGAAAGTCGGCCCGGTCACAGGGTTCAAACTGCTGTTCTCTGAAGTGGACAAACTGTTCCCCTCAGGTCAGAAAGGCGGGGGTTTGGTCATTTTCAGTGGGACGGCCTGAGTCTCTAGGTTCTTTTGTCCGAAGACGTTTTGCCGGGTCGAGTCGTCTTTGGATATGAAGGGCGGTGCTGGGGTGCCGCCCCCCCCAGGTGGCGCCCTGGGGCCCTGCCGGCTGCTGTCCCCTCCCGCAGTGCTGAGCGGGGACAGAGCTCCTGCCGGAAGGGCCCTGGGTGCTGCGCGCGCCCTCCGTGCTGGCGCCTGTCCCCACGGGGGCCAGCCCCCACAGGTGCTGCTGCAGCCGCTTCTCCCCGAGGGGCCCTGGGCCTGGGGACCCTTCCGGCCAGCCCCTGGGCACAGCGGAGCCGTCTGCAGGAAAGTCGCTTTCTGAGGGCGAGCTCTTCGGTGTGGGGACGTGAGACCAAAGCAGCCGAGCTGGGAGGATGGCCCGCAGAGGCCAGGAAGCCACAGGAGGGACAGGGACTGGGCCTGCCCTGTGGGGCTTCCCCACGCTCCTAGAGGCCAGTGGAGCCTGGTGGCCGAGTCCTCCCCAGGGGGAGCCTCTCAGGCTGCAGCCCAGGCCCCCAGCTGGAGGCCCGTCATCGAACAGCCCAGTGCAGAACTGGGCGGCAGGGCGGGCCATAGCCTGGGCCACAGAAGACAGAAGGGGGCTCACGTCCCCTTGGCTCCTGCCAACCCCCTGCCCCCCTGCCCCCCCCCCCCCGAGGGCCCTGGGACATGGCTGCCTTCACCGAGGACAGGCTGCGACCAGCGATCGCAGGGAAGCTCCGACCGCAGCACGGCCCCGAAGCCTCCATCTCCCCTCAGGCTGCTCTCGGGGTGTCGCTCTGTCAGAGCGTGGTGTGTGCAGGCCCGCGACCTGCCCGTGCCCCAGCCTCGTCTGTCTAGTTGGCCCGGACTTCACCCAGACTATCTGGAGAAAACCTCGGTCACCCTGAAGTGCTGGAGGAAGCCCACTGTCTTCGGGGGGTGGGGGGGGTCCCAGACATACGCAGGAGGCCGCTGTCCGGGGGCTGAGCGGGAATGCAGGGTCCCCGTGGGGCACCGGGCACCTGGGATGGACAACAGATTCTCCCAGGAAGCTAGGCTCCCGTGGGGCTCCCCACTGGCCTCTTGACCTCAGGTGCAAAGAGATGACCCCGGGGTCAGAGGTCAGCCGATGCAGGGACGGGTGTGGGCGTGGTGTGGGCGCCACTGAGGGAGGAGTAACTATGTTTCTCGTGTTCCTAGCCCTGACGAGGAATCTTCGCAAAAGTTCATCCCCTTCGTAGGGGTGAGTACTCCGCTGTGGTGCTTGTGCTACCTTTAAGTTCTAGAACATTCTTCACCAATTTGAGCAGACTATTCCTTAAAATCTGCCCCCCACCCCATCTTAAAGCTTCTTGTCTTCCCCCCACGTGGAGCAGGGCTGGGCCCGGAATGTCTGACCGCTGCACGCACACACACACCTAGAGGCCGGGAGGGCTCCCTGCCAGCACCGCCTGGGCACGGGGCCTGTGTCAGACTTGGCTGTGGGCGGGCGCCCCAGGGGGGCCGGCGGGGTGTCTGTCCCTTGGGAGCTGTGCTGGGATTGAGGTGTGTGTAAATTGGGAAGTTCACCTTCCTCCACACCAGCCGGGCCGGTGCCCCAACGTTTCACAGCCGCTTACCTCCCCATGTGGCCCCCAGCCTGGGCACCTGCTGTGAGAGCCAGAGGCAGAGGGGCCCAGGCGCAGGGGACAGCAGGCTGTGGTTTGACCCCCGCCAGGCGTCAGGGTCCCCGCCAGCCCTCCTGGGAGGGAAGGAGTCCAGCCGGTCTCGGGGAACCTTAGGTAGTGACGAAGGCGTCCCACCCGAACCCCATGGACACTTGCAACACCATCATGTGACCAAGGAATGAGTCACCACTTAACGTGACCACACAGGGGTCTGGAGCAGCAGCTCTCTGACCAGGCACCTGGTGCTGGCCATGGGGCCACCTGTGCCCCTCGCTGGACAGGGGTCCCACACACCAGCGCCTGGAGCTCACCAACCTCTGGCCGGGCCAGCCACACGTGCTCACGGTTTGCTGTGGGCCGGAGTGTGGAGTCTTGCCCCTCCCGGGTGGGGGACGGCCACAGAGGGTGCTGCAGCTCCGCAGAGTCTCCCCAGCATAGCCGTGCAGCCACGGAAGAACCGGGTCTCTGCTCCATCCCAGGCGCCCCCAGGGAGGGTGGGGCCGGGCGCAGCCCAGGGACCCGGCCCGGCCGGCGGGCTGGCCACAGCCCCACTCTGCTGCCAGCCAGCATCCCGTTGCCTTTTAGGTGGTCAAGGTTGGAATAGTGGAGCCGTCCTCAGCCACATCAGGTAACCCTGTCCTCCCTGCCCTTGGGGCCAGGAAGGGGAGGGACGCCCGCTGTGGGAGGCTCCTCTCCGCCTTCCACACAAGCCCTCCCGGCCCCCCCCGGGGCTGCCCTGGGGGCAGAGACACAGGGCGCTCAAGGGTGCCCCACTTCTCCCCAAAGGTGACTCTGATGACGCGGCCCCCTCGGGCTCCAGCGTGCTCTCGTCCACCCCACCGTCCATGTCTCCCGCGGCCAAGGAGGCCTCGCCCACCCCGCCTTCCTCGCCGTCGGTGAGCGGGGGCCTGTCCTCCCCCAGGTAAACGTAGCCGTGCCACGCAGGTGCCCCACCGCACCCCCGATGGTTAAAGAATGCACACAATCACCGCCACTGGCCACAGCTCTGGGATGCCAGGGTCTGACTGGAGGGTGGGCTCAGAACAGTCTTGGGAAGACAGGGGCTTGCTGGGATGCGGTGCCCATGGGGTGGGGCCAGCGCAGGCTCTGGCCAGGCCTGTCCCCCCAGCCCTGGCAGCGCTAGGGACCGAAACCACACAGAGTAAGCAAGTGGGGGTGCTCCACACGCACACGGGCGTTGGGAAAGATGTGCATAGATGTGGTTCCCTGTAGGGACCAGGGCGGGGGTGGTCAGCAGCCTTCCCAGCTGCCCTCGGGCCTCTCTTGAGCAGGACTCATCCAGACAAAACCTGAGGGGTCTGAGGGTGTCCTCACACCCACATGGGCCACAGGGTCACAGGGCTGCTCCCGACTCCCACGGGGGCCACACCTTAGATGAGACTGGTTGACCTTGGCCCTCTAGACTCAAATGGGTGGCATGAGAGGGCAGGCAGGTGGCAGACCCAGGTGCTCCCAGGTGACCTCAGCGCGGCCACTGTGCCCACCCACAGGCCCAGATGGGGCTGTCTCCAGAGCCCAGGGACGGGCCACACGGGCTCCAGGGCTGGGGCTCCCTCCGCTGGGCAGCTCCTGCAGGCGGTCCCCCAGTACTCAGCAGCGCGGCCGGCCACTGGGCCAGGACAGAGGAGTGAGGCCCCTCTGCTTTCGCAGCCAGGGCGTCGGCGCTGAGCTGATGGGGCTGCAGGTGGATTACTGGACGGCGGCCCCGCCTGCAGACAGGAAGAGAGAGGTGGAGAAGAAGGACCTGCCTGCCACCAAAAACACGCTCAAGTGCACCTTCCGGTCTCTCCAGGTCAGCAGGCTGCCCAGCACTGGCGAGGCTGCGGCCACGCCCACCATGTCCATGACCGTGGTCACCAAGGAGAAGAACAAGAAGGGTGAGGTGGGGGTGACAGGCTGACTGTTGGGGTAGTCAGAGGAGCACCTTGCAGGCCCCGAGGCCACCGTGGGTCTGGGGGCGGCTTCTGAGGACAGCCCTGAGCAGAGACCACTTGGGCAGATGGGAAGGCTGGTGGCTGTGGCCACAGTGGACTGTGGTGGCTCGGGGAGGCAGGGATCCGAGGGCTGTGGCTGAGCCCTGCGGCCCTTTTCCTTCTAGTGATGTTTCTGCCCAAGAAAACCAAGGACAAGGATGTGGAGTCTAAAAGCCAGTGCATCGAGGGTATCAGCCGCCTGATCTGCACAGCCAAGCACCAGCAGAACATGCTGAGGGGTGAGTGCCGGCTGCGGAGTGGGGGTGGGAGTGGGGCTCCCAGAATTCCCAGAACTTATCCACGTGTCCTTCTTCAGAGGGGAACCCACAGAGAGTTGGGTTCTTGACCCAAGTTACCATTGGTCCCATCTAAAGTATGAAAGTAAACCAGAGGAGGCCGAAATGTTTTTTAAAATTCACCTCTGGAAACACTTTCGCTTTGCATGAAATGCTTTTACCTATCTGGATAAAGCACGTGTGTGCATAGAACAGCTTTTTAAATTTTCAGAAGTAATTTCTCAATCCTTTCTGTTCTTTTAAAATATTGATTTGTACATCTCAGACTTTTTAGAGAAGATATTCTGCAGCTAATTAATTCAGAATACGGAGCCCAAAACGGCTTTCTCTCTGTGAGCTCCCGTCTGATGACCACTGTGGTCCAGAACTAACCCCCCTTCCTCCGGAGGAGGGTGTTTTAATCCGCTCTGCGGATCCCAGCCAGGGCAGAGGGGCTGTGGGGGAGCGGGTCCCCGAGTTCAGGGAGAGGCCGGCCGCCACGGGTGGCTGGGAGCCAGGGGCAGGGGAGCGGCGGGCGGGCAGTGAGGCGGTGCTGTCCCCACAGTCCTCATCGACGGCGTGGAGTGGAATGACGTCAAGTTCTTCCAGCTGGCGGCCCAGTGGTCCTCCCACGTCAAGCACTTTCCCATCTGCATCTTCGGACACTCCAAGTCCACCTGCTAGCCCCGCCCCCGAGCCCTGGACGGCGTGCGCCGGGGGCCCAGCTGCTTCTGTTAACATTTCAGTTTACTACAGAGACACTTAAAAACACAAAGAGAAACAGTCTTAAGTATGAATGTGCTCTCAACCTGGAAACTCACGGGGAGGCTCCCCACCGGGGCCGTGAGCTGCTCTGCTGGATGACCGGATGTGCCGCGGGGCGGGAGGTCAAGCAGACGGCGCTGAGCTTTGAGATCACGAAAGGTGTGTTGGCTTCAGGACCTCCCGAGCCCCCCCAGCAAGAAGGGTCCTCACCTTCGTGTCCTGTCCTTCCTGAAAGCCAGGACTGCTTCCTCAGGGAACTGGGGTCAGGCCGGTGGCCACGCAGATCCATGGGCTGCCTGTGGGCCCAGACACGGGGCTGGGTGGCCGGAGGCTGGAGGCCAGACGGCCCAGGCCTGGGCCCAGCCGCCCACCAGCCGAGACGCCCCAGCAGCGCCCACTTGTGGTTCCTGATAAACTCCAGCCTCACGGGGCAGCGGAGGTTTTCTAGTAGCAGATATTTTTAATGCTTTTAAATACATGTTATAATGTAGCTGCCAAACAGACACTGCTCTTCTGACGTCCCGGCGGCCCCTCGGGGCTGGGGCAGAGCCAGCCAGCACCGTCGCACGCCCTAGCCCCCAGCACCTGCCTCGCCCCCGAGCTGCCCCACCCCCACCCCCCGTGGTTCTTGAGCCGTCACTAGGCTTCTGCCGGCCGTCTCTGTCCCACTCCTGGCACAGTGGACCCCAACACTGGCCCCAGCCCCCTCACCCTTCTCCCCCCAGCCCCCCGGCCACCTGCCGGCTGAGCAGTGTCTGGGCCCACGCACACTTACGTGGCCAGCGAAAGCTAAGGCAGGGCAGCCTGGCCACAGGCACCAGGCACCAGTGGAGCCGTAGGTACAGCTGGGAGTACCCCACGGAGGCAGGAGCCCTGGCGTCTCTGGGCCAAGCTCCCAAGAGTGAGGGTTTGGGTTTGGGTCCCGCCCTGGGTGGCAGCCTTGCTGCCTGCCTTCCCGTGTAGCAGGAAAGGGACATCTTGACCTGAAGCTAGAGTCCAGCCCAGTGTCCACAGGAAGAGCCCACCAGTCCCCATCCTTTGGCAGCTGGGACCCTGGTAGCCCACTCGGGGCCACCCAGGCTGTGCTCAGAAAACAGTGCCAAACAGCGCAGGCTGCAGGCCTCACCAACGGCCTGTGCCACAGGCAGGCCTGACCTCGGGGGAGTGAGATGGCCCCCTCCCCTTACCTGTGACCTACCTGCTTCCTCCCCCAAGGCAGGAAGGGGTTCCTGGGCTAATTACGGAACAGGACACGGGCCTGACCTCGTGTGCGGCCTCAGGATTGCCTTTGGGCAGAGGAGGACCTTCCCCAGGACGGCCTGTACTCCTCCTGACAGCACGGGGGACCAGGCTGACTCCTGACTCGGAAGGACCAGGGTTGGGGTGCTGGCCGCTGAGCCCAGCACCTCAGGCAGCCTGTGCGGTGTCTGCAAGCCGCCACCCTGAGAAGCAGGCCCTGGGACCGTGAGCCTCCCTGCGCTGGTTCCCACCACTGGGCCTCAGGGCCTTGGTCACTGCTCCTTAAGGTTCCTTTCCAAAGGTCAAACTCCGCAGGAAGGAGGTACAGCCAAGGCTCCTGACGTAGCTTTTGAGCTACAGAGCTGGCTTTAGAGGAAGGGACCAGAGAGAGCAGTCACCCTATTGTGGGACCATCCCCCTCCCCCCTCAAATGTGCCTCCCTGTCCACTTCCATAGCTGCGTCCTTGTACACACAAGGGGAGGGCACGCAGCGCCTCCACCCTATGCCCCTGGGCCTACAGAGCCCGGTGGCCATCCGTCCTGTGCCTAAGTGCCATGGGGCTCACCCACCACACTGTCCCCGGGGCCGAGGAGGTCATGCAGACAGCCCCAGCCACCGTGATTCTCAGAGACCTGTGCCACGGTTTCCCCATTGGCTAAACGGGGATGGTCACGTGCCCTGCCTACCTCATGGAGCTGTTCTGAGGACCCACGTAAAAGCACTTTGTTCCTCAAAGGAAGATGCAGAAGCCAAAGCCATCTGTGAGCGAGCCAGTGCAGCTGTAGGCACTCGGAGGAGGCAGCGGTGTGGGGTGCGAGGCACATGGGTCCCAGGCAGGAGCAGCTGCCAGTCACCACCAGGCAAGGCCAGGTGGGGGCTGGCCACTGCCCTCCAGCCGGGTCCACCGCTTCGTCTCTCCACCCACATCAGCCCCCCCACCCTCCCAGGGTCCCGGGTTGGCCCTGCTGCACTGCCCTCACCCCCAGACGGCAAGACCTGGCCACACTGCGGTCGGGCCTTTGCTCTGGAGCAGATTCCTCATTACAGGACAGGGCCACCTGCTTCCGTGGGCCAGCCACCTGACCGCGCTTGTCCTCGCCGCCTTCCCCAGACCCGCCCCCACGGGTGGAGGAGGGAGAACGCGTCCCGACATTCCCCCTCCTGGCCTTGGGGGCCACCGCGCGGTCCGAACCTGTAGCCCAAGGGGTGCCCCTCTACGTCTCTGCAGACCCCCATCCATCCGTCGTGCATTGTTTAGTTTCTAGGATGTACGTGTTGCGAGGTTTTTTTCTTTTTCAATGAAAAACAGGATTCATGTAAATAGCCTTTTGGGGGAACAGATTCTAATCTGTCACGTATGTGACCACGTGGACTATTTTAAGGTGCTGATGCAAAACACTAATAAACCTGGGGGGCAACCCCAGGCCTTCCCTGGCCTCCTGTGTGATTCCTCCCGGGCCGCCCGCGCGCCCCGGGCCCCGCCCCGAGCGCGCACGCGGGGAACAGCGTGGGCGTCGCCGGGGGCTGGGGGACACCGCCGGGCCCGGGGACCCATGAGGGGACAGAGCCTGTGGCCTGAACGGCCGGGTGGTGGGGGAGGGCTCCGGCCGAGGACCCCCGAGCTCCGAAGGGCGCCTCAGAGGCCCTCCAGAGGCGGAGGAGGGCAGCATCTGAAAGATAACTTCGAGCGGCGCTGGGTGACACTCCGAAGAGGCCCGAGCCGGGAACCCCCGGGCGCGGAGCCGGATCCCCCCTCCCCCGACGGCCGGGACTACGGCGCAGGCGCAGCGCGGGCCGGAAGCGGAAGGGCGGGGCCAGCCGCAGCGGAACTTCCGCCGGGTTCGGTTCCGCCCCTTCGGGGGCTCCCGGAAAGGCTGTGGGCTCCGCCCATATTTGACTGCCTTCACACGCGAGGGCCCTCCCGCCGCCTCCCGTTCCCCGCCCCAGGCTCCTAGTATACTCGACGTCTCTCCGCCTCTGCTCCCGCAGGAACCCCATCTCTCAGCTTCCGTCACTCCTGGCGTACCTCACCCCAAATTCCCAGCGTGCCGCCCCCTCCCCGCAGCATACCGCACCCCTTCCCGAATCCCCTCCCCCAGCGTACCACACCCCTCCCCGCCTCCCTCTCCGCAGCTTACCGCACCTCTCCTCTCCGTACCCCACTCCCCCCGCCTCCCCCGCAGCCTATCCCACAACCTACCGCACCCCTTCCTGCCTCCCTACACCCAGTGTACCCCACGCCTCCCTGCCCCCTATCCCCAGTGTATCCCTCCCGCCCCCCTCCCCGCAGTGTACCACACCCCGCCCCGCCTCCTTCCCCCCAGCGTACCGCCCCCTCCCTGCCTCCCTACACCCACTGTACCCCACCCCTCCCTGCTTCCCTACACCCATCACCCATCGTACTCTACACCTCCTTGGCCCCAGCGTACCTCACCCCTTCTCACTCCCTACCTCTAGCGGACCCTGCCCTTTCCTGTACCCTGTACCCAGCCCCTCCCCCACCTCCGTACCCTCCCACTACCCTGCTCCTCCACCAATGATTGCTGCCTCCATAATGGTCCTCTCCACCCGACCTTCTACCATGTGCCCTCCTGACCCTGCCCTAACTCCCCTCAGCCCACTCCTCACACGCAGAGCCCCTGGAGGGGAGAGGGGCAGTGTCCTAGGGCTCACCGTCAGCCTTGGGGTGTGGTCCGCAGCGTCTAGGTGAGGTCACAGCGGGTGGGAGGAGGGAGGCAGGGAGAGCTGGGGGGCCCTTCATTCTGTGATCCTTCCGGGCTTTCTCTGTAGGTCCTCAGCAGGTCCTCAGCGGTCGGTTGGGGGCACATGCCACTTCCCACCCACCGGGCTGGAGCCAAGGTGGGAAACCTGGGCGCTGGGAGAAGGGCTGGCAGGGCGCTGCGGCTGCTCCAGCCAGCGGTGATCCTGTGGGGGCGGGGAACAGCAGTAGGAGCTGGGGGACCAGGTCACCCACTGGCCTGAGGCCTGCCCAACACTGTCTGGCTGATAGAGCGCAGGTGAGCCCAGCAGAGCCTGATGCCGCCTCCATCTGCTTGAGGGGCGCAGGGAGCCGTGGGGGCCTTTCCCAGAGCCCGGGAGGCACAGACACGCAAGCTGAAGGGCGGACATGGACGGTGGGAAGCATTTGGCTGATGCCCCCCTGGGGAAGAAGCCAGGGCTGCCGCGGCCCCAGGAGCATGGGCACCCCCCTCCCCCGGAGAGCCCCACCACAGCCTGGGGCCAGCCGGGCGACTGGAGCGGAGGGCCGCAGGTACTGCAGACTCAGGACTGGGTAAGCTGGACCCCAGAACTGGCTTTGAAGGCGGGCTGGTCGGGGCATGCGGTTTGAGTGGTCCCTCGGGCCTCAGGGAGGGCCGATGGGCACTGATGGGGACACGCACAGTGTCCCCTGGGCGGCCACCACCAGGTGTGCTGTCCGTTTCTGCACCTCAGCGGGGCCTGCCTCAGTCCCCCCTCCCCCATCTGCACCCTGGGCCGAGAGGGCGGCACCACTGAGAGGAGGCCCCACGACAGCCACCCTACCCCAGGGGGTGCTCCAGGAGCCGAGAAGCCAGACCCCCTGAGGTTGTGTGCGGTTCCCTGTGCGGAAGGCTCGGAGCCAGCAGGGTGCGTCCCAGGCGTGAGCGGCCAGGCACGCACAGTGCTGGCCGTGGGCGAGGGTGGCGAGCGGCAGCATGCCAGGCTGGCACGTAGGCCTGTGTGCATGCGCGCTTGCTGCGCTCACAGGTTTAGGAGAAAAGGCGGCAGAGGGAAAGCAGGCCGCGCCCCAGCGCCTGTGAGAGTCCTGGAGGGCCGGGCAGGCAGACCCCCTGTGGGGGGCTGACCTCTCGGGTCGGGCTGTCTGGGACATAAACACAAAGGCGTGTCACTGTCGCGAGGAAGGAGGGACTGGGAAGCCTGGGTCCCGAGTAGGCAGTGGGGACTTGGGGGCACACTGACAGCACTTAGAGGCCACTGCTCAAGTTTGAGGTTCAGAGAGGTGGGCGGCCAAGGGCCGAGGAAGCAGCAGGGGAGCAGGAAAGAAGGGTCCAGCGGGAGGTGGCCAGGGACAGGGAGCCGGGCAGAGGCCGGGAGAGGGCACAGACCCATTTCTGCAGACCCCCAGCTGCCTGGTTGGGGGGCGGTGCCCCCCGTGTCAGCCTGCCGCTCCCCTCCTCTGCTTCAGCCCTTGGGGAGCGTCAGCTGCTCGCTGCAGTCTCGAGGGATTCCCTGCGCTACTCTCTGTCTCGGTGTCCTGCCTGGTGTCCTTCCTCTTTGTCCCCCTCAGCGTGGAGTATTCTTCCTCCTGACCCTGCCCTTGGAGTGCAGCCTCCCGGGAGCCTCCAGTCTGGCTGACGTCATTCAGCCTCAGCATTCCTCTCGTCCCACCCCGAGCCCCCAGGGCCGCCTCCACCCCACATGGTGATGACACGAGCTCACAGAGGGCAGAGACCTCAGGCTGAGGCCAAGGTCTGAGGAGACCTGCCCCTGGCGCAGGGGCTGCCAACATCCATCTCTCCCTGCGGGCTGGGCCCGCTTCCTGACAATCTCACTGAACACAACAGGAGGGGAGGGCTTGCCACCAGGGATCACAGCTTGGGCAGAGAAAGAAGGTCCACTCTGGGCTGCGAGATGGGAGGCAGCGGGAACAGGTTGCTGCCTCAGCCCCCGAGCGCCGATCCACCCACGTTGCTAATCTATGAAATATGCACCCCGTGAAACATGAGCTAATGGCCAGGGGTACCAGACATTTGAAGAAGACCTCTGTCACAAAGGAGAGCAGGACAGTTCGGGGAAAAGACCAAGAAGAGTCACAGCAGTAGCCATGTCGCCATCGTCCTGGTGGCTTGTGCCATCTCGGAAGAATTAGCCCTGCAGCCAGACGAGGGGGACGTAACGCGGCTGAGGTGACACCAGCAACAGACTAGGAGATGAGTGAGTGGGAAAGGAATACACTGGACAGGAAATGTGCAGACCTGTTTGAGAGGAGATTAAAAGCACCCTGAAGCATCACCGAGAGACTTGGCAGCAGCGGATGCCGTCACTGAGGGGCCTCCCTAGACATTTCACAATTCAGCGTCATCAGCGATCAGCGTGGTGAACATTTGGGGCGCCTGGCTGGCTCAGTCAGTGGAATGTGCAGCTCTTCATCTTGGGGGCATGAGTTCAGCCCACGCTGAGTATAGAGACTGCTAAACAAATAAACCTAAAAATGCTAAACGTTTGTCTTCTCATTTTCAATATGTCAAACTGGTCAAATAGAAAAATAAGCAGGAGTACGTTCAGCGCTAACAGATGTGAGTTCATATCGCAAAGTGTCAGTTATCAAAGCAGTGGAGTCCTGGCACTGTGACGCATTATCATCAGAACAGAATAGAAAGTCTGGAAATTGACCCAAACGCCCACAGACACTTAGTGTAGGATGAAGATGAGGTCTCAAGTCAGTGGGGAAGGCAGTGGTGTAGCGCTCCAGAGGGCGGGCAGTGGTAGCCATGCCTCATCCAACACCGGGCGCGTGGGGCGGCCTTTCCAACCTTCTCCAGGTCCAGGAGTGTGAAAGGAACGGTGGTTAAGGGTGACCACACGTGGAAAACCAACAAAACTGAGGGAGGCAAAATGCATGGCTCGAGCAAAGGCAGACATGGCTGACCAAGCCCCGGGACGCCTGGTGGAACAGGGCGGCGCCGGGAACCCTGGGTATGCACAAATGAAAGAATGAACCCAGACTCTTGCCTGATGCCACACACAAAAATTAACTCAAAATGGATCAAACACATAAAGCCACAAAACTCCTAGGAGAAAACGAGAAAGCTTCACAACAATGGACTTGGCAATGATTTCTTGGATGACACCCAACAGCTCCAGCAACAAAAGTAAAAATAGCTAAATTAGGCTTCATCAAAATTAAAACCTTTTGATCATCAAAGAACATGGAAAAGTCAACCTGAGGAATGAGAGGAAACATTTACAAATCACACATCTGATAAGGGATTAATGTCCAGAATGTATAATGAACTCCTAAAACTCTAAACAGAAAAATGGCCTGAAACAAAAATGGCCAAAGGGCTTGGGCATTTCTCCAAAGTTATACCAGTGGTCGACAAGTAGATAGGAAGTGCTCCATGCCATCCGTCCTGGGGCCAGCAGGGCAAAGGAAAGCCACAGCACACGCCGCTTCACAGCCGTTAGGATCGCTACGATCAAAAACAAAGAAAACGAGAAGCACTGGCGAAGGTGTGGAGAAACTGGAGCCCGGTGCGTGCTGCGGGAGCATAAAGTGGTGCAGCCGCTGTAGGAAGCAGCGTGGAGTCCCTCACGAGGCGAAGCGTAGAATTGCCGTGTAACCCAGCAAGCCCACATCCGGACACGTTTCTGAGAGAACTGAAAAGCAGGGACTCAAGCAGACACGTGCACACTCACGTTTGCAGCGGTGTGATTCACACTCGCCAAAAGGTGGAAGTGGCCTGGGGGTCCGTCCGTGGGTGCCCGTGAGGTGTCCCTAGAGTGGTCAGACTCCTGGAGACAGAAAATAGCATGAGCCTGGGCAGGGCATGGGGAGCTAGTGTTCATGAGGACAGAGTTCTGGTTTGGGACGAGGAGAAGGTTCTGGAGACGATGGTCGTGGTGGCCGAATGTGCTTCACGGCACCGAACTGTGCACCTTAAATGATTAAGTTTATGTGTCATTTACCACACAGAAGAAGGAGACGTAGGAAGTTAAGAAGAAATGGGAGAAGGTCATGGTGTGGAGCAGGGCGACCACAGGGCGACCAGCAAGCAGGCGGGAACCTGAGAGCAGCCTGTATGTGATGGAAGGTCCAGAAGGCCCAGGGAGGTACGGAGTGAGGCTGCCCCGGGTCTGGGGCCACCAGCTGCCCCGCGGGGCTGGGGCCGGTCGGCTGGACACAGGTCAGCAGGTTGCACCAAAAAGGGAGACGAACAGGAGCTGTCCCCAGGCCCTTCCTGCCCGGACACCCAGCACTGACAGAGGCCAGACATCAGCAACCCGCACAGACACGAGTCGTCAGAATACGGGGCCTGCTGCAGAGAGCGCGGCTCCTCAGGCCAGAAAGAGAGGGAAGGGGGGGCGTCTGGGGGGCTCAGTTGGTCAAGCATCTGACTCTCGATCTCGGCTCAGGTCATGATCTCACAGTTCGTGAGTTCAAGTCCCACATCAGGCTCTGTGCTTGCAGCATGGAGCCTACTTAGAATTCTCTCTCTCTCTCTCTCTCTCTCTCTCTCTCTCTCTCCCTCTCCCCCACCCCCAGGCTCAGTCAAGTTCATGTACACACTTTCTCACTCTCAAAATAAACTTCAAACATTTTAGAAAAAGAAGTAAAAGGGATTTGGTGCCAGGATGTACATGAAATTCAGTTGTTTGACAAAAGCACAAAGAGCCCGAGGACACACCTGGCGAAAGTGTAGGGTGCAGAGCGAGCCCCCCCACCCCGGGGAGCTGAGTGGCGGGAGTGCACGCACCGCATGGCGGCTTCATGGGGGACGGCATGTTCCGGCGAGGGGGCCAGCACCTTGTGCACCCGGGAACAGCTGGGGAGCGCTACAGGAGAGGGACGCGGGGAAACGTTCTCCACCCGGCGCCGGGCCTCCTGTCCTTCACGACCGTGGTCACAAGTGTCAGGAGCAAGAATGCGTGACTGGGACTCAGCACACACCAGAGGAAGGGACCTCAGACAAGGAGTCCTTATCAATCGTGTTTTATATCTTATGGGAAAAAGTATTCACTTTGGATAGTGGATTCCTGTGTTTTAAAATACGTTTTCTTCTGTGTGTTTCCCATACAGTTATGGTTCCCCACTTTAAACACGCCTGCGGCCAGGCTGGGCTGGGTGAGCCCTTGTACCAGCGGGCCCCGGGGTACAGGGCCACCCGCCCCAGGAGGCTGGCACAGCCCTTCCCTCGCCTGCAGTGACCGTGGCCAGCACACTGGGTGCAGTGCCTGGAGGCCGGGGGCAGGGGGAGGCATCTAACAAGTGAGTTTGCAGACACCTAGGGCATCACGTTCGTGAGAAACGACCAGATCCCAGCCCGGTGGAGTTTACACACCTGTCTCAGAGGGAAATGACCAAGCGTCAAGTCAGGGAAGAAAAAAAGGCACCAGATTTGAGGAGCACCGCTCCTAATGCGCTCGCCTTACTGGCCCTGAAACGCAGCACACGGCAAGCAGAGGCTTGCCTTTTCTCTGCACTGGAGTTTAGGGCGTCGGCAAGCCAGTCTCCTCATCCCTCCTGAAACCCTGAAACGGGGTAAGAGTGGTGCTTGAGAAGCAGACACCCCTGGGTCCGAACCCCAGAGAGGTGGGAGCAGCCCAGGAAGAAAGTGGGAGGCAGCAGGTGACCAAGAAAGGACAGATGTCACAGTCACTTCTGCTGACGCTGTGTCCGACGGGCCATGCCCCTTCCACGGAGCCCTGAGCAACAGCTCACATCTCCACTTGACATGAATGTAGAGCGAGGACCCCGAAGCAGAGGTCTGGGTAGTTCAGGGAGCGGAGAGGTTCCAGAATATTAAAGTGAGACCCTAGGACCTGGAAGAGAGACACTCCCATATAACTCGGAACGGACTGTTTTTTAAAAAAGAAGCTCCACAAATGATACAGAGCTCTTCATAAATAAGCAGAACAGAACTGAAATGTTCAGTAGAAGGGTTGGAATATGAACTTGAGGAAATCAGCTGGAAAATCAGAGAGATTGGAAGCAGGAGAGGAGATGTGAGGCTGAGGAGCCTTCCAGAAAGACCCACGTGCAGCTGAAGGGGTGTGAAGGCGGCCGTTGGACAGGCCAGGTCTGCAGCATGGCACTCCCGCGAAGGGCAGTCAGCCACGAAATCTCACAGCGCTATTAAGCAAAGGTGAAAGCTGATTATCTGAATTTGTATCACCCAGATTAACTTTTAAAAACCTGAAGATGCCAATGACACCCCCAAAAATTCTAAAGTTGTCCCAGAAATTCCCTAAATGAGGAATGTATGGGTGGGCAATCCCAAGCGATTAGGAAATGAGTCCTCCCCGCCAGTGAGGTTGAAAGCGTCGAGCCACTTGTACGTGCAGAGCAGGCTGCACCCCGACGCCAGTGCCATGGGGGAGGAGGAGAGGGACCGGGGAAGGAGAGAGGGGCCGGCCCCTCAGCTGTGGTGCAGATGGAAGAGTCCTGAATGCGTGGGCAGTAACCCAGCAGCATCTGAGAGACTAAACTTCACAACCGTGCCACTGGCTGCCTCCCATGCTTCCATCCCCCAGGAGAGCAGGGACGTTGTCTCTTCACAGCTCTGTTCCCAGCGCCTAGGATGGTGCTGGGGCTCACAGAGTAGGTGCAAGATGAATATATATTGGGTAAAGAAAGTTGTGGGTATACCCAAAAAACCCATACCCTAACGACAAAGGAATTTGGAAATCCGTTTAGTAAAATGGTCTACATTAACAAAGGAGGAAGACCACAGACTATCTCAGTAGACACTGAAAAAGAAATTGCAGTATCTTTCCTTAAAACAAATATAACAATTAAAAACAATTTTGTGAAATTGAGGTATAATTAATATACGGTTAACCTATTGATTCTTAGTAAGGTAGGGAGAGATGGATATGCCTGAAACCCGATAAAGCACAGCTATCAAGAGCCTTGGGTGGCCTTCACCGAAATGTTTCCCACAGGCACGGGCAGCAGGCAGGAACGCAGGGCATCACCATGACGATGGACACGCCGGCACGGAGCCTGTGCGGAAGTCAGGAAAATGAAAGGAGCTATGAATACCTGAAGATGAACCGGTCACTCTGCAGCCAATACACTGTCTACCTCGAAAATCCATGCAAGCCCCTTAGGACAGAAGAGCACTAGTAAAAGAGGAAGGGTGAACATATGATCCCCAATTAAAACTTCATCGTTTTTCAACATACAAAAAATAACCAACAAGAAAATGAAAGTGGAAAAAAGTATGCATTCCCTTTAACAACAGAAACTGCGAAGTCCCTGAGAGTAAATCTGCTCTTGGGACGAACGCTACGTGCAGCGTGAGACTGAATAACACAGAGGATACCTGATGGAAAGCTTTACCACCTTGCTCGAATGGAAGATTTAAGATTTAAACCTGCCACATTCCCCCAAAGTAACTAATTCAGTTCAATACCATTTTAAAACACCAAACTTTTCATGAATCTTGAAAATTCTATCCTAATGTACATATGTTTCTGTCCGTGTATTAGTTACC